ACTTATCCACTGTGCCATGTGTCCTTGAGGACATCTGTATATAAATTTCTGGGTATTATAAACTTAATGTCTTCACTCTTCAGCAACCATTATTACCAGTTCTCATATTGCAAATTTTTGCTGTTATCAATGCATGTTTTTACCACAGCTCATACTGCAATTTTTATTGTTATTATCACTTTTCTCTGGCACTCCTTATTATTGGTTCCCATATTGTATTCATTTCTATGCTTGGTCGGCTCAGGAGATTTTTTGGCCTAGCATATGTGCTGATTCCTTAAATTTACGAATTTTCCAATGGTGTTCTTTGTCTGTGATCTCAACCTGATCCCACAAAGAGTGGTGATCTCTTTTCTCTCCATATGTGGTCAGCTACGCCTGACTTTTCCACTTCCCCTTGTATTACAGCTTTCTGGTGTTCTGGAAGCCTTACCTTAATGGGCGGCCTGTCTCCCCTTCATATTTTTTCCGCAGCTGCACGGGATGGCATACACACACTTTACTTTTTAGTCATGTTCTCTTCTATGGTGGTGGGGGGGTCTTACTCGGGAGAGGTATCTGCAAAATGTCGTCCAGCTTTTGAAGGTTGTCCTGATTTTATATGGACCGCAGATCTGTTATATTTCTCCGATAACCTATTTACACAAGGCATGCAACTGTTTTCTGAGTGTTGTTGTCCTATCTCAGTTTATTGGGTGCTGCCATGTACCCAGGGTAGTTACGTTGCAGGGTACTGCTTATACTGACCAATTAAATGTCTCTGGGTCGCCACATAACTTTTGCTTGGTGTTGTAAGCATTTCTTTACGTTGTATGTATGGTGGGAGTTGAAATCTAGGTACTGTCCGTTGAATGTCTGTTTGCGGTATGTACACTATTGTTCGGACTCAACAGTCAACACGCTCCCATTCGTGGATGTTCTAATCTAGAATAGAGCATGGGTTCAAGACATCCGTACATAATACCTCATCTCGGAAATATAGACAAATCGTAAGACTTCATTCAGACATTAGTAGTCATTCTTGTACATCCAGACCAACAAAACAATATTGTAACAGTTGCTAAAAAAGAATTCTTTTAAAGATTCACATTTTACAATTTCACGAAACTTTACATTTTTCTTTATTCTTCAAACCGAACGTGATTTAAGATTCTTTCGATTAAATAAAGAAATGGATTCCAAAATCGCACAGAAAAATTACGTTTTCTTTTCGTTTTTTTTTTTCTTTCCATTCTTTTCGTTTTTTTTTTCTTTCCATTCTTTTCGTTTTTTTTTTTCTTTCCATTCTTTTCGTTTTTTTTTTCTTTCCATTCTTTTCGTTTTTTTTTTTTTTTTTTCGTTTTTTTTTTTTCCCATTCTTTTCGTTTTTTTTTTTTTTTCCATTCTTTTCGTTTTTTTTTCTTTCCATTCTTTTTTTTTTTTTTTTCCATTCTTTTCGTTTTTTTTTTTTTTTCCATTCTTTTCGTTTTTTTTTTTTTCCATTTTTTTCGTTTTTTTTTTTTTTTTCTTTTTTTTTTTTTTTTCTTTCCATTCTTTTCGTTTTTTTTTCTTTCCATTCTTTTCGTTTTTTTTTTTTCCATTCTTTTCGTTTTTTTTTTTTTTTTTTCCATTCTTTTCGTTTTTTTTTTTTCCATTCCATTCTTTTTTTTTTTTTTTTTTTTTCCATTCTTTTCGTTTTTTTTTTTTTCCATTCTTTTCGTTTTTTTTTTTTTCCATTCTTTTCGTTTTTTTTTTTTTCTTTCCATTATTTTTTTTTTTTTTTTATTTCCATTTTTTTGTTTTTTTTTTTTTTTTTCCATTATTTTTTTTTTTTTTTTTTTTCTTTCCATTCTTTTCGTTTTTTTTTTTTCTTTCCATTCTTTCCCATTCGTTTTTTTTTTTTTTCCATTCTTTTCGTTTTTTTTTTTTTTTTTCCTTTATTTTTTTTTTTTTTTTTTTCTTTCCATTTTTTTTTTTTTTTTTTCTTTCCATTCTTTTCGTTTTTTTTTTTTTCTTTCCATTCTTTTCGTTTTTTTTTTTTTCTTTCCATTCTTTTTTTTTTTTTTTTCTTCCATTCTTTTCGTTTTTTTTTTTCCATTCTTTTTCGTTTTTTTTTTTTTCCATTCTTTCGTTTTTTTTTTTTTCTTCCATTCTTTTCGTTTTTTTTTTTTTTCTTTTGGAACGAATTTTGTTTTCATTCACACTTGATTGCATAAATTTTCCAAAAGGAAAAAAAGACCACCCCTATTAAACTACATACGAGATTTTTTTTACACACAGTTTATTAAAAAAATTTTTCAATAGATTAATAAAATTTATTAATGAAAAATTTCGTTTGAATCTGATAATTCCCCGACTTTTTGCCAATAGTTTCAATAAAATAGGGGGTAACAATTTTTACTTTTTTTTTTTTTCTTTTTCGGAAAGAAAGCACCCAATTGTTTAATTTCATTGTTTTTAAAGTAAAAAGTAAGCATTTCCTTTTGGAAAATCTAGTTTAATTAAATCATTAAAAATTTGCTGACTCAGAAACCTATCTCTAGGACAAAAATATCGTATTTTTAAAATTTTTAATTTTGTTTACATTTTTCGTCTATAAATGGCGATTTTGTGCGTGACTAGTGAAACTTGAAAATGTGCCTAAAATCTTTACATACGGAAATTAATTTTTCTTAATTCGGATTAGCTTTTTTTTTTTTTTTTTAATTTTTTGTCTGTTTCAAATGAAAAAAAAAGCAATTCAAAGAACGCATTTTTAAAATGCGGTTTTCGGTAATCCGTAGTAGTACCTAAATTCATAATATTTTACAAACATAATTACTTCGAATTATTTTAAATAGAATTTAAATCATTTGTTTTTATTTAAAAGTGAAAAAAAAAAAAAAAAATACAATACGGTTGTAAAATTTGCTTATGTTTTTTTTTCGTTAATTTCCGAGATCGGTAGTGACGTCAGAGTGTATCCGTTTCGAAAGGAAAGAACAGTAAAAAGTAAATAATTAAAAAAATATATAAATCAAACAAACTTTTTCCACGGTAAATAAGATTCACCTTCCGTTTTATTCTACTCTTCGATAAGGAAAGTTATAATTTTTACAAAATCCCATTAATTGGAGAGAGATTAATTTTTTTTTTTAGTTTGATTTAAGCTTTCCAAAAAATGTATGAAGCAGAACTAAATTTTATTATACATCTCTATCTATCCACTAAAAATGTCTATTAAAATAAAGTTGACGGTTAACAGCATGGTTTTTTTTTTTTTTTTTTTTTACTTAAACTACAGGGAAATGCTTGCTTTCATCTGCTATTCTTCACCCGAATTTTATTTTAACAGGGAAAAGAGATAAAACTTTTATCTCTTTTCCCTGTTAAAATAAATTCAAGTGTATTCTTTTATCATAAAAGGAATACAGAAAAGGATAATTATATAAGCAGGACTCAGACATGCAACTTAAAGACATTAGTGGGGAATCGGTGAGATCTCACTGATTCCCACACTAATTTAAGTTGCATGTCTGAGTCACCCCCACTCCTCCCCCCAACAAAAAATAGCAAACTTAAACTTTTGTGCCCACAAAAAACAAGGTGTCAAAAGGACGTTTTTGTAACAGAATTGGGTTAGCCTCATAAAATACTCAGTTGGTTGTATGTGGTGCTGTAAGAAGAAATTGTCCTCTTCCATAATGGGCTGTTGAGAGAAATTTAATAGTCGGCGTAGGTCTGGGGCTCGGAGAGCTATATAACACCAGTTTTTCTCTCCGTTAAGGAGGTGCTCTCAATGTGCAGAAACCAGACAAGTTTTTTTCCATTGACGCTGCTATTATTTTAATTACCTTCACTCTTCAGCAATGTTTGTTTTTAAAAAGCGATGATTAGAATTGTAATTATAGTCCTTTGCACCTTCTTTAATTGAAAAAAGGGAAAAAAAGGGCTGTCTGGTAAAAAGGAATGAAAAATGTATAACCTTTCACATGAATTTTTTTTTTTTTTTTTTTTTCCTCAAGATGACATGTGAAATAACTCTAGTAACAGATCTGGTCTTAACTCTGTGTTACCCATCCATGTGTTATGTGAAAATGGTCAAATAATTTTGCTTCTAAGTGTGTGATTAAGGTTGTTAATGTAAAAATTGAAAACTACACGGAGGTACTTCACATAACATTTAATAAAATTTATTAAGAATATATACAGATGGAGGTTAACTTAGTTGGATTCGGTGTGGGTTGAAATTACACGTGATTGTGTGGTAGTTCAGTTTGTCAGGTTTTGAGAAAGTGAAGAAACGTACAAACTCTTGAATGCTTGGAGATTAGAAATCCTTTAAGGGACGTAACTCCTGTTAACTTGGGAGTTATCTCCCATTTAACTTTATATTTTTTTATTAGGTTTGACTTTAACTAAATAAGTTAAGAGAAAAAGTTGAATCATTGCTTGCATAGCACACCCAAAGCCTGCACGTAGTTTATATAGATAGACAATTTTAAACTTATAACTAAGAACAGAGGTAAAGAGGACAAATATACACTTGATAGGTGTTACAATCTAGTGCACCAAGAGTCCAATGAATGAATGATCCTTTAATAAGGAAAATGTAGGTTAGTGCTTGCTAAAATCATTCCCAGCTTAATAGTTCAGACAGCTATTAGAATTGTATTGCTTTTCAAAATTATAAACATTGTCATCCCATTAATATTGATACTGATCTTTGGAGGACTTAAAAGGTTACTTATTTTAGATCATTTTACTTACAATTATTGCCACATGATGTAAATAATAGAGCATTAAAAATAGCTATCAGTGCCTTTTTATTGCTATTTGTTGATTATATTGGCAACTAAGATTTTTACATTGACATAAGTAGTGAAGTAATCATTTCAAGTAGCAGTTAATCAAAATAAGTGCCTGTGTAATTTGTAATTAATGTTTTGTCTCATAAAACCTGTGATTGTTCTCTCAAATATAAATGCCTCATAGTAACACAAGCCTAAAAGCATTAAACTACTTTCTTTCATTTTACAGAAATGTCTCCTGTACCAAAGGAAGAACGTGACAAACCAGTTGATGATAATCCTGAATGCAACAATGTTGAAAATGATGATAGTGTACCAGATTTTATTATTACACTAACTAGTTCTGAAAGTGAAGCTGAAAGTGATGCAGATATTGAGCATGATGGTTATGAATTGTTACCCCAAGAAGCAGAACTTATTGAATTTCAGCCACCTATAGAAGCCCATGAGACTGATCCTGTAACACTTCTGCCAAACCTTCACCAACCACTTCCTGAGGAACCATGTGTTTTGCCATTCACAGTAATATTTTTATTATCATTTAATTTTATTAAGACCCTAATAATAAAGTACTTATTAGGTATAATCCCTTTATTTAAAAAAAAAAAAATCTCTACCTATGGCAGATTGTGTACTAGCACAAGATAGTTCTCTTCAGAGATCAGTTTTGGATGGTCAACTTGGTAGATTTTGGAAAGTTGATTTAGTGTTTTATGAGTATATCTTTAACACTTTGCTTTTCATGATAGACATAATGTTAAATGATTTTTTTCTTATATTAAATTTGCATATTTTATTTCAAGCTTTTACAACTTTTTCTTGGAGCAAAATGTTTTCTGTATAATTGATATTGATTTCACTTAATTTTTGATCACACAATATTATAAACCATTGAATTAGAATTTTCATTATATTGTCATAGTTTAATGCAGTACATTTAATGAGATACTTAACAATGTCATTCTAATCACTGACAATTTGCTGTATATGAAAGCGGTACTATTTCAAAGAAATACAGAATCATATTACCCTTTTTATGCGCAAGTGCACAAGCTGAAAATTAATAATCCCAATAATAAATTTAAATACTTTTTATCTTTACAAATTATTTATATCATGGATAGTTAAGCTAAAAGTATTTTAAATTCTTCACACACTTTACAGGCACCATATGTGATATATCTATATATATATATATATAGAGAGAGAGACTTTTTTGTCTCACCACTAGCTCAGTTTCATGCACAATGCAATCTTCAGGTGCTGGCTTAAATCTTAATTTAGCACCTGAAGTTTGTTGTGCATGAAACTCACAACTGTTACCAGTGAGGGACAAAAATGTATTGATATATAATTTATAGCTCTGTTATTTTACATAAAGCACTATTTTATTAATACCAGCACTCTGTGTGATATATATTTTATATTATATTTATTATATTGTATATTTATCCATTTATTTTTACATCAATGCATTTGTTTGTATATTCTTATGGGATATAAAATGATAATCATACTGGATTGGAATCCCAGTTCAGACATGCCAATCAATTGATTAAAGAACCATCTTTTTGCATTGTATTAATTTTTATATTATATTTCTTAGTATAAACCAGGGCTTCTCTTAATCAGCAATAGTTATATCATTGTTGGTACTCTCAAGCATTAAGCATAGCATAATGTTATTTTCCTTTAATCTCTAATCTATTATGAGTTTTATTTTTTGTGTGTAATATATATATTTTTTATGTCAAGAACAATATTGGAAATTGTATGACCAAATGGAAAATGTTTACTTGTGATGCGTTTCGTCTTTCAAGACATCATCAGACTAAATTTATGTTGGTGCAACTACACATACATGAATAATAGATGCTGGTGATTTTAGAGTTTTCAAAAAATTTTTATCTTACCAAATTCATCTAGTCTTTTTCTTTCCATCACATTTGTTAGTAGGTATCCCACACTGTGATAATAGATTTACCAGGAATGGTGAAATGTAAGAGCCAGGGTGTAAATTTAGTATAGCTGACCATGTGATCAAGGCAGTCTATAGACATTTGTTATAGCGAATTTTCTCCTTTGATCAAAATGTCAATTTTTTTTTTTTTTTTTTTTTTTTTTCAATGTCAAAATTGTGGGCAACCAATGCATTTGATCTCCTGTTTTGTAAAATGTCTCTTTTGTGCGTATCTAATCTTTTATTTAGATTTCTTGAGGACAATGCATCACAAGTAAACTTTTGTCTCTCACACTCACACTCACACTCACACACACACACACACACACACACACACACACACACACACACACACTAATATTAAGGAATATATTGTCATTTTTTACACTTGATATTTTTATTTAATCTGTAGAATTAATTTATTTTTACAGTTACCAGACGCACCTGCTGAAGATGCTGCTTCATTGTTATGGAATCAGGGAAACTCAGCTCCTCGACCTGAGATGGATAAAGGTAAAATGTTTTAATAGAACTTTGTATGAAAGAAAAATGCAAATATACTAATATTTCTTTTAGTTTTTGTAAGATTCATAAGATATGGGTAAAATAAATCGATAAATTAATTCTTGACAGAAGATAACTTTTTTTTTTTTTTTTTTTTTTTTTTTCTCAAAGATTTTACTTTATTTTATTTAAGATCTTGAAAACTTCTGCTTTGTAGAGAATTACTAATTCACTGTTTTGATCTATGTAGACATCACTACTAACTTTACCTATGAACTGAGTAAAAAAAAAAAAAAACCCAAAAAACTCCCATTCTTAGGTGTTCTTGTAGTTATTCTACAAATTCATCATATCATTATATAAAAAAAAACACTAACAGAAACTCTTGCCACCCTTAATTTTAAGAGTGAATGCCCACTTAGATATAAAATAGCAGTTATAAAAAATTTCATAAAGATCGCATAAGAATTCGTCCACTTTCCCTAAAGAACTCTATGTAAAACACTAGTTAACCATGGTTTTCCTCACTACCTCATTGGCCACCAGAGAAGACTTTCTTTCTAAACTAATAACAATACTGAATGATAACAAAAACATAAAAAATTAATATCTACAAAAGTCAAATACATGTCAACTATAAGCAATATGTATTTTCTCTTAGAAATATAGACATGAACAAAAAAAAAATATCTATAATGTAAAAAAAAAAAAAAATATCTATTACAAAAAATTTAAAATGGCTAACCTTATCAAAATAACATACCTGAAAAGTCAAAATTGCAAAAAACCAGCATTTATGAGTTCAAATGCCCCTTAAGGAACTGTTCCTGATCAAACCAAACTCATAAATACATTGGTTACGCTACAACATGCCTATCTAGATGACTTGCATTACACCTACCTAGCATAACATGATTAAGACTTCTTTAAACACACACAAAAATCTACCAGTCTCCATCCGAAACAGACTAGTAGAAAATACAAGTATAATAGCTTCATCCACATGAAAAAAAAGAAAAAAAAATTAATACAAAATAATGGATGCTCTAATAATAAAAAAGGAAAAGCCAACACGCAATAACATTAACTATAAATATGGCCACAATATGCTGACCATGTTCAGAAAATGAAACATTTCAAATAACTTCAGAAAAGTACATAAAAAAAAAAAACATATACTTAATTAAAAATAAAAAACAAATTGCTCTTGATATTGACTAACAGAATAGCTGAAAGTGCTCTTATATACAGAACTTTTACAAAGTTTTTACACACTTTTTTGTGTCCAGAAAAGAAAACAATTGTATGAACAAGAAAAATTAAATAAAAAGCTTAATTGTAGTACCTTATCCGTCATCTTTAACAAAATACACATATTTTATATATATATATATATATATATATATATAATTTGTGTGTATATGTAAAAAATTTTTTCTCTGTTAGTCTTTTTCATACAACTATCTTAAAGATTATTTGTCTTAATTTTTAATTTGTTTTTTGCTTATCTAAAGTTCTTGATTTATCCTTTTTTTCTACTGTCATTTATTTTACCAATTGATAGTTTAGGTGTTAGTACTATCAAAAGTAGTATAGATTTTGATGTAAACAATGACTTCATAATCCATGTATTTTGGGTTTAAATCCTTTTCTTTTGGTTACCTTTTACTTAGTAAAATTTTCAATCTTTCTTTATTTACAACTATTTTGCAATTTGTCTTGCTTTCTCATGTTTTTGTTTAAAATATGGCAAAAATACATTCTACTTGGTACTAATTTTTTAGCTCATTTTATCTAATTTTCAATGTTTATTATTTATATAGTCACAACTTATTTTTATTTATTTTTTTATTTTTTATTTTTTTTCTATCTGGATTCATTATTTTAAATGATTTTGGCATATTAGTAACCTGTATTAGTCATGTGATTAACATTTTCAAACTGAAAATCTAGAGCATAAAAAGATTATAAATGACCATTTTGCTTATGGTCCTGTTAGTATGTATATTACTACCTGTCAGAAAACAGTTGTTACATAAAATGTTTTCTGCTGGTTGTAAAATATATTTCTGTATTGTGTTGCTGAAAGGAAACTTTCATGTTTGCTTAAATCTTAATGCTGTCTGTTTGGCACTCATTTATTCTCTTTTTGAGTTGTAATCTTTGAAAGAGACTTTAAATTAAAGATTTTAATATTTGCTACTAAAATATAACAATGCATGATTCTAAAGAGCTTGACTAACCCTGCCTGATTGGTAGCACCTAATCATTTGTATTTTATCTCCTAAATTACTTAATTACAGGTACAATATGTAGTTATGCTATTTATATTTTTCTTATATTTATTAGTGCTATAACAAGTTACTTTTCTTGGTCTGTTATAAAATAGGAAAATTCAATTCAGTGATTTTTCTCTTGTACAAAGGATGCTTTGAAAATAATAGCTCACATAGTTCCATGGAAACAAGATGCTAGACCATGCACAATGGCTCCATTGGATAGAGCATGTTTTTTCAGTTATAAAATACTACTTTCCTGCATAGTCACCACTGTCATCTATGCATTTTTGCTCTGAAAGTAATGCCTCTATGTATCTCCATGGGATCTACAACAGATACAGAGAGCATAACAGCACCACTGGATAGAGCAAGTTTTCAGCTACAAAACACTATATTTGCACATAGTTACCACCATGAAATTTTGCTTCCACTGTCTTGATACCCAAGAAACCTTCAAAGAAAATCAATTTTAGAATTGTTACTAATGTCCATAATAGAGTACTGCTCAATTGCATCTATCAAGCACAGAATAAAAAGCCAAGACTATTTCAATCTGGTTTTCACATAGGATGCAGCTGTGTTGAATAAATACATATATCCTAAATAGATTGCTGGAAAGTTTCCATCAGAAATGGTTACCATCAGCTACTTTTATTGATTTTTAGTAAATCTTAGGAACTTAATACCAATGATAACAAACTGTCCCATGGAGAGACCATTGGAACAGTTACCTCAGCACCAAAATCGGTTTTTATTCAAACAGCAAATTCTAGCAACTGAAGAACATGAAAATCACCAATCTTTTGTTTTATCCATATTGTTCTATGGTGCACAAACACCAGAAAAAGTCAAGTGTATCTGGGGAAACAATAGCATCTCAACACACACACACACACACACACACACAGTGCAATGGGTAAATTATCGCCATTTTATATTTTTAATTTCGTGCATTGTTTTTGATTTTTGTTGACTGCACAGTATAGTAGGGTCAGTTGGGCCCTGTCTGAGAAAAAGTAAAGTGAAAAGAATGAGTTTTCTGAATTGTCATACCTTTTGTAATCACTCTTTCCAAATCCTCTGCACTCTCCTCAGATTGAAACCTAAATACTCTGAAATGTTCATATATTAGTTTCTGGCATGTGAATGTCAAGTATGCCATTAGCAAATTTCTGGTGGAGTGAATTGCATCAGGAAGGTTTCTCATAGATTATGCCCAACTGATACTATTATACTGTCAACAAAATCAAAAACAATGTGCCTGCATAAAATAAAAATAAAATGGCGACAATTTACCCATCGCACTGCGTGCGGGGAGGGGCTGTGACAGCAAAATTGTCCAATTGTTAGATTAAGCTCTTCCTGTTGACATTCTAATCCAGTTTTCCTCTCTACTGTTGACCATTTTTTTCTTATTTACTGTTCTCTTGATGGTTCTTGAATGTACTTTGAACATGGAAGCCACAGTAGTAATGTTGGTACCATTACTGAAGGCCTGAATGTTTTTCTTCTCACCATTGCTCAGATGGGTCTGACACAAAACGATTTTTTAGCTGAATAACATGAAGGGTTTTTCAGTAATTCTTACAAAAATATGGTGTCAAGGTGGCTAAATGTCTTAATCTTAAAACCCAGGAAAAATAAACTGTGTTGTAGGTATTAAATATTGTAGGATGGATAATTATGTTGTTACATGATTGTAACAATTTTCTGTTTGTTACACTATATATATATTTATATATATATATATATATATATATATATATATATATATATATATATATATAAATTTTCCTTGATTTTGGTTTCTTCTAAATTCCACTCCAACTCTGTACTTCTGTCTATGCCTAAACTCTGAAATTTATACTGTTATTGGATTTCCGGTTCCTTCTAAAGTATTTTCCTTATCTTTGACTTCCAGTAGCCCCTTCTGTCTCAGTGGCATTATTACCTAGCTTGGGGTGAATCAATTAAAAAAAAAAAAAAAAAATGCATGTGTGGACAATGTCAACATGGAAGCAACATTCTGTTTCATGCATGAGCTCAACCATGAAACACTGTCACCTCTTGGTGCTTACCTCGGTGTCCACTTCTATATTTACATATATACCATCCCTGATATTGAGCACTTTTACTCAAATATTAAAACTATATTTTGATCATATACTAATAATAAACATTTCGTTTTTCACTGTTTGATACAATTGTTTTATGTGACAAACATCAGGCACAGACAGAAAACTGACCATTGTAAATATTCTTATTTATAACCTACAATAAGATAATGGAGCAATCCATTTACTTTAAGAAACAAGATGTATAGTTATTATTAGTATAAATAGCTCTATTATGCATTGAGTACTTTTATTATCAGCACTCACTGAGCACTATTTTATATTTATACTTGTATTTACTCATTTTTGTCTATAAGGCATTAAATTAATCATTTAGCATTCTCTGTAGTTTACCTTGACTTTCACAATTAAACTGAAGAATATTTGAGTGTTCTTAAATTTTAACAAACTTTAAACCATAACAATATACTTCTTCTGTTTATAAATACATGTTGCAAAATAAAATCCTTACATTTGTCTTAATGTCCACCCTTATGGCCATATTACACTGAAACAGTGGTTCCTATTTAGTCACCAAAGTTAAGCAACGTCAAGCTGGGTCAGTACCTAGATAGATAACCACTTGAGAATACCAGGTAATGTAAGATAACGACTTGTAATTAATTAGAGAGCTGAGTTCCAATTCCAGTTGGGTTTGGTATATTCACTTATGTGCAAATGCCCTTGAAAAAAGTATGAGTCTACCTCCTCTCCCAACTGATTAGTAAAACTTGTACTGCTGAAATCATTTCCTCCAGAATCCTTAAAAAAAAAAAATTTTCTGGCATTAGATAACCTGCAAAAGTTTGACAATCCATAGAAAAGAATGAAATCTATCAAAGGGGGAAATGTGTCGGTAAAGAATAGTTTTCCTTTTGTCATATATATATATATATATATATATATTATATACACTAGTGTGATCTTGCAACCCCCGAATTTTCATTTATAAAAATTTTATCATGTGAGTTTTTTATTTGAGACCAAATTGCAACAATGGATTAACCTTTTTTTCCCCCCTCTCTTTATCCTGTCTTCTAGTTAAATAAGTTAAAGTAAGAATGATAAAAGTATCATTAGTAGCACTATACTTGATATAGCCATAAACAACCGAAGAAAAATAGCTAAAGAGCTTATAAACATAAACAATGAAAAAGATGCATATTTTCTGTTTCTATTTTATTATTGCATGCATTATTTTTGGATGCAGTTAAGTAAAACATCAGTTTTATCAAAATCATGTTTATTTGAAATACTGCTGTACTTAACAAATGAATATATAGTTTGGTCAACAATGTAGTCTGAGCCAGCAGTACATATGCTAATTTTATCTCATATGATGTGAAGGACTTAAAATTGCTTCAACATTAGGCCTTCAAAAGTCACATGATACTGTGTGTGTGTGTGTGTGTGTACATATAATGCATGTGTTTCTTTTGCTAACGAATTGTTTCTGTGAAAAACAATTTTTATTTTCTTACAAAATGAAACTAGATTATTATTGTTTAAACAGTCTTTAGACTTCCCAAATATTAAATGGATTTCATAATAAAAACATTAATTCATAGGATATTGAAAGCTTCTGCAGAGGGTTGTAATTTTTATTTTATTTTTTTTTTTAAAATGCTAGAAGAAAATATCTTGCTTCAAAGGGAACACTGAGTTGAATGTATCATGCATATCAACTGTCTAAAAAAAAAAAAAAAAAAAAAAAAGTATAAATATTGGCTTTGTGGGTTACACATTTAAAACAGATCCCAGTATTTGATTCTCTCTCATGAGAGGATCTTGTTAACATATGTAAATTTTGGCTGTCAATGAGGAGATAAAAAAAAAGGGGGCATAACAAGGCAAGTCACTCCTGTACTGAGTAGGAGACATGTGTTGCAGAAGACTTGACTAAAGGAAACTGATTACAGGAATTGTTAAGCCAGAGAAGAAAGTACAATTTTACTCTTTCCCTACAAATATAAATACTTATCTATATGCAATAATCCTTGTCTTCACTCATAGGTTTTATTTACTCTCATTTTATTCAAGTCTCTGTGCTAGTTACTGGAAGAAAATAGAATAGAAAAAAAAAATCATTTTGGATGCTGAACAGGATTTTTTTGATAATTAAATTTAATCTGTTCTTGGAATGAGATTTGAAGAACCTTATAGAGATATACATTGGCAATTACCTTTTTAACAGATTGCCATGATCACACTTATGGGATAACATTAAATATATTGACACTGAAAACCGAACTTATTTGTTATATTCTTACTAACTTGATTCAGTTTCTTGTTTTTCTATTAACTATCTTCTATTACAAACTTTATTATTCAGTTATGATGTTGGTGATGATTGAACAATTTTGTATTTACAGATTGTGACAACTATTAGGGAGGTGTAATTAAATATACTTTAATGTTTTAAAAAAAATTTATTCAGTATTATTGTTTAGGCAATAAGCTTTATAACATAGCACAAATAGCTATATATGCATTCTTTTACTTTTTTGGCTATTTTTTAACTTTTAATATATATATTAGCATTCTATGGAAAAGGCCTGATATAAAAGGAATATAATGCAATATTTGAAATGCGCACTTTTGTTAGATTATCAAAAACAAGGACTGTCGTGAAAATTCAGATACAAAAGTGATTCTGACTCTTCTGATTTTATTAATTAATTACTATTTTTTTTTTTTTTTTAAACTAATAACTATTTGTGCTCAGTTGTTGACATTAGTTGATATTAATAGCTATCTGCCGATGTGTTAAAATTTTGGAATAATACAATAAAAATTTTAATTTCATCTCTTTGATAGATGTCACGATCTGTTAGTATTTAAGTAATTACTTGAGTACTTAAAAAAAAAAAATTTCCTTGCTTAATGAAATTATCTAAATTTTTCTCAATTCAATATTGATAGCCCAAAACAAGCTGCAAGAAACTTAGCTCTATTGTAGTAAACCATTTCAGATTTATGCCTCCATCTATATTTAACAAATGGACAAGGTGGTTTTTTTTTATTTTTTTTTTTTTTTTATTTTATGTAACTCAAAAAGATATATTCAGAAGGTCAATGTTATTGGACCTCTGGATTGTAGCTCTTCCTTAACCTACATTATCTGTAATTGACAATGATTTATGTCACAAGAATGACTATTACATACTTTTGATGTTGACAGAATTTTGAGTGTTGCTGGTAGCTCTTTAACAGAAAGGCGATAAAAGTGAGGACTGAGGAATACTGAATATTTTAAGCCCTAAATTTTAGGGTGAAGTCTGTATGCTGAATCAAAAGAAAAATCCTTAACTACTTTGGTTGGAATTAGAAAAGTTGATAGAATGGTGCATTGAAAGAAGCAGCAGACATGGCAGTAAGAATTAGTAAGTGAAGTTCTGAGTCTAATATGTCTGTTTGTCTTCAACATTTTAATATAGTGATATTCATTTATTTAAGCATTTTTTTTATTTGTTTCATTTTAAAACTGTTTAAGACATATTTTCCAATGTACCTGTGAACTTGGATAAATTATGTAAATTCATGAAAATAGGGATGAGTTTTATTGCACAAGAAATTAGAACATATGTTAACAGATCTGGTTTGGGTCTTAAAAAAAAAAAAGAAAGTATTTGATAAGTTGACTTTGTATTTTGATTAAAGGTTTAAAATCAGAATAAAAGGTGCCAGTCAGAAAAGCAGAGGTGGCCAAACTGCAACTCACAAACCACATGCAGCTCTTTGACCTTTTAATATGCAAAATATGTTGGCTGAGCTATTTTTTTTTTTCTCATAGTTAATATAAAAAAGTAAATAAGAAAAATTTCAAACTTTATAATTATTTACAGATCCTATTGGATTAAAATGCAAGTTTAAAGTTCATGGTTAGTAAAAATATTTAAGAAATCCTAATTTTAATGCTTGATCTGAGTGAGGCATTGTTCTTTAGTGCTGATGGGAGGTAGAGATTAAAGAAATTTTCTGTCAGCAAGGGTCATGGAAGAATGTCACTGAGGTAAGGGGATTAGATTTGTGTGCATCAGGGGTGGTGGGGGTTGAGTGTTAACAGGTGTAAATTTTGGTCATGTCTTGCAGCTGTCAAATATCTGAACTTTTATGTGGCTCTTACATTAAGCAAGTTTGGCCACTCTGATAGATATTTCTATAAACTTTTGGAAATTGTATACAAATAAAGAAACAATTGGTTAACAGCAATATCTTTGTGTGATAGACTTACTGCATGATTAAATTTAATAACACTGAATTAGAAACAAATTTCATTAAGTTATTAAAAGTTAAATACTATTACTGTTCACATCAGACCAAAAATTGTATTCTGGATTTTTGTTGGTAACTACTTTGAAGTATTTAGTTAGCATTTTTTAAAATTTTAAATTTTTTTATATTACTAAGATATTTTGATAAGATTTCACTTAGATTATTTTCCATATATAAACTGAAAGGCCATACATTGGACTATGGTCTTAGGCAGGTTGGATGAAAAAAACAATTTTATTGAGTTAAGTATGGGTCTCAATTAAGCTATAGTAGCCTGTGCTATTTTTTCTTCTCCCTTTTATCTGCTCTTTTTTTACGATTCTTTCTTTTGCAATTTATAAATTATTTCACTGAAAATTTAATAAATATCTATTTGTGACTTTTTTTTTTTTTTTTTTTTTTTTAAATACTGATATAACACTTTTCTTTCTAAAACTAATAAAATTTTACTTTTTAGGTCAGGAGGAAAGAGTTAGAGCTGCTATGAAAGGATTCCAGCTACCAAGTACTAACATTCCTGACTGGGCCAAAAATGTCCCAGAAGACAAGTGGAAAGAACATTTATTAGCTAAATTACATCAGTTAAACGCAAAGGATTCAGATGACAATGACCCCAAACGAGACGACAATTCACAAAATGATGATACTTGTTTGAAGTGATGTTAAAAAAAAAAAATACATTAAAAGAAAACTCCCGATAATTATTCCATTGAATAGCTTTTATATCTGTTTGTTTTTTTTTTTTGTTTTTTTTGGGGGGGGTAATTTATTTATTGAAAAATAATTTTTTTTCCTTTTTTTTCAAGCAAAGAAATAGCAAATCTAAAAAGAAAAAAGTAAAGTTGGTTTGGAAAATGAAAAATAGATAATCAATTAGTATATTGAAATCTGACTTTTCAATGGAGTCAACGTCTAAATCTAACTTCTTCATACATAAGTGTCGCCTTCCCAGAGTTCACAATGACTAAATATGGTTGTATTAACATTCCTGTAATCTTGTTGTTACAAAGTCTCCCCCCCCCCCCACTACTGTCTCTGCAAATAATGGATAATCTTCCTTTTGATTAGGGATTTTAAAGAAAATTGTTTTATGTAGAAAATGTACACTATTACTTTTTTTCTAAGATTTTTTTTTTTTTTTTTTTTTTTTAATCAAAGAACTTAAATTTTTTGCTGTTAAGGAAAAAAAACCAAAAAAACTGAACAAACTAATTTTCAAAGTGTTCTATATTTCAGGGAATTTGTACACAGGGAATTTTATTTTTAAGAGGAATTCTATTATGTTGATATTTAATATTCTTTTAAAACTTGCTGATTTGTAATTATTTTTATGGTAGAAGTGAATGTCAGTTTTATCTTCGAGCAATCTGATAACATGATTACTTTGCACTAATTTTTTCATTAACTCATTCTCAACTTTATTTGCTGTAAATTGTTTGACTTTTCATAATGTTACTCAAGATTATAGAAGCTTGAGAATGGGTACTTTTAAATTACTAAAATTCATAAGGATAATAAAGATTTTGAAACTCAGTTTTCTCTTTCCAGATTGTTTTTGTTATTTTTACTTTTATGAAAACTGACCATTTTTCTGTCAAAATGAGGCACTTTCTAAACATGTTGAAATTTCTTAGAAAATTGCATACAGGACTTTTTTTTTTTTTTTTTTTTTTTTTTTTAAATCTTCAGTTTCAGCAAATAATTGAACTTATCACATTGCATTCGGACTTGCTTTATGGCTTTCTAAAATTACAAATATAAGATACGTTCATGCATTGTTTTTAAAATTAAGTCCACATGGATATCATGAATTTCATGGAAATGATTTAATTTAAATTATTACTTTAAACATTGTAATTGAACATGTATTGTTATGGCTTTCTAAATTTAATGCTTTCCTGACTCGTGTTTAAATTTTTACCATATTAAGAATTTATACAGTTGTTCCCCTACCTACATTTTTAAAGGATTCATAAATTTGATGACATTTTGTGGGAAAAATGGAATTAAAGAAGGCACTTGTACTTGAAATCAAAAAGTGACCATTAAAATCTGTAGGTTTTATAAGTAAAGAAGGCTTGGAGATTTTGATGCTCACAGAATATTAAGGCAAGAGGAACGATAAAAATAGCCTATCGAGCAAACTTGTAAATTAGTTGACAGAGCTGAGATTACAAGAGACAGCAAAAAGACTACTTACTAAGAGCAAAAAAGGACATGAGCTTGTGGAGAGCCATGATCACTCACAATCAACTTTGACTGCAGTAGTAGGGAACTTGGTGAGGATTAAACCCACATTACTCCTTACCTCATAATAGGGATGGCCAATCTTGCTTGCTGTAAGAAGGGCCTATCTATCTCCTTGCTTGCTGTAAGAAGGGCCTATCTATCTCCTTGCTTGAGAGCCACAAGAGATGAACTAAATTTACACAGAATTTTGCTACATACACATTAACATTAATTTTATGTTTTAATCCAATGGGGTCTCAATTCATACCCAGTAAATAATTATAAAGCTTGAAAAGTTTAACTTTTTTTTAAATGTTACAGAAAAAGGAGCTCAGGCAACATATTTCCACGAGCTACACATTAAAGGCCAAAGAGCCACATGTGGCTTATGAACCAGTTTATCTACACCTGCCTTATATCAAATCTCCCCACTGCTTTATCTCGAATTTAAATGGACTAGATAAATTGTATGTAATGTAGGATTGTTTTTTTTGTTTTTTTTTTCTTATAAAGTACTATGCAAGAATTTATAAATTAATAAATAACTTTCTGATTAAGTGTACCAATTTTATGCACAAAAGTATTGCATTTTATATAGATATATATATACTTTTTATCTGCTGTTACAATATTTTGTTTGACTTTTTTTTTTTTTTTTTTAAATGGGACTAAGTTTAAGTATTTTTATTCATTCAGAAATATATCAAAAATTTAAAAGAACTAAATCTACTCAACATGTACTTTCATGTATATATCTAGAATAGGGATTCATTTGAAAGTGGTGTGTAAAGTAATTTTGGAGGTTGAAGGAATAGAAATTGTTAGCAAAAATTGTTCATTTTAAACATTGCTGTCATGAAGTCCTCTTGAAAAGTTTTTTTTTTTTTTTTTTGCCAGTTCTATTGGTTATTTGCTACTAGAAAAGGAATAATCTTTTAAATTTCCTAATTAACGATACACCTAAAGATCTTTTTGAAAGAATGAAGTGATAATTTAATATTAAACACAAAGTAACAATTTTAATTTTTTAGACATTAAAATCATTAAACACTGATTACTGTTTGCTTTTTATTTTTTTTTCTCTCAATTTTTTAAATATCATTATGGTGTTGAGTGATTCAGATATCATGTTGACATACAGCTGATTTTTTTTGGGATGTTGATTATGGTTGCAATGAAAATCCAATTTCAAAAATGTAAGAATTGGTAAAAATAGATTTTTCAAAACATTTGGAAATGTTTTGATTTGTGATACCCACAAAATTTCTGAATATTTTTACTTAAAAAAAAAAATCCCTTTTTGATATCTGATCATTTCTTTCCTTATTCAGAAATCAGCTGTATGTCAATGACATCTGGATCATTCCTAACATCAAAATGTGATACATTTCAAAAGTTGAGGGGGGAAAAAATTGCTTTATTTGTAATATCTTCATACAAATTTTTCAAAATGATAATTTAACATTTTTTTTTTTTTTTTTTTTTTTCCCATTTTAAATATTAAATTTCCCAATTTTGAACTTTTAAATTAAATTTTTTAAATTTAAGGTTATGGGGTGTGGGAAAGATTTTGAAGGAATGTAAGTCTTGAAAATGTTAACTCATAACTGGAAGTCTATTCAAACTAATGTTAACATATTAGGTCAAGATTATTTCCCTTGCTACATTAATTCAAACTCATGTCATACAGGGGGTGGGGACTGTTACTTATAAATGACTAGCTTAAAAGCATCCTTATTGGGTGGCATTTAAGCTAGCTCCTGCAGAGGGCTCTGGATTGGGCCTTCATCACAATAGGTAGGGTGGAGTAGATGCAATAAACTACAGAACTCAAAATTAATTGCTGCATTTAAGTATTGCATTAATATATAAGCTTACCTTTTAAAAGTTCAATGACAATTTTTTTGCTACTTAATTTAAAGATAGGTACTTACTTTCTGTACAATTATTTTTATTTCATGGGTGGATTTTGCAATTAATTTCAATTATTCCTAAATTTATTTCCAAGTTGTTAAAATAAAATAAGACATATCTCAGCTGATTTGCAGGCAAATAAACTAATATGCTCAAGAGCAAGAGCCGGATGTGAACGGGACAAGTCCCCGTCACAAAATTACCATTATTGTCATTTACGCATAGGCCCGACGCACAAGTTCTGGTCGAAAAATAAAATAATATTTTAAAGTGTTTCTATTTTTCGACCAATAAAAATGCTTCCCTCCTAATTATACTCACATCGTTTTACGAGCCTGTTAAGCCATAAAAAAACGCCATATAAGGGGTCACATGGGGAAGTACAACAGCAGTCAACAGGAGGCCAGGGAAGAGATCTGTCATGGGCAGTCAGCAGCAGTAGTGCCACGCCAACCAGCGAGAACTACTACGAGAGATCAACCCAGGTCGGCAGCCAGCTTATGAACTATACCACAAGGTAGCTGTCCCAAAACCACACGTTCCTATTGAAATAAATCACATATCTGCTGCTGTTGTATTTCTTTCTTGCAACCATACGCTTGTCTATAACAGTTATAGGAATTGTTATCCAAAAACTTTGTTACAAAAAAATCATGTAAAACAGTCACAGTAATGAACACTTGGGAACACTTTCTGGATCTGGCCTGTAATGTTTTGAATTTGCTCATGGATTTGAAAAGTTGAAAAACTGTGACTTCCTGGCATTATTATATAGACGTATAAATAATTTTTAAAATGTTACTAAGTTTTCCAAGTTCACCTTTTGCACAACGTCAGGGGAAATATTAGTTTTAAGTGGCCAGTTTTCAATGTCGAGCTTGGTCAGTACCTAGATGGGGGAGTGCTTGGGAATACCAGGTGTAGTAAACTTGGATGTGCAGGTGGTGTAAAGGATAATGGCTTGGAATTGTTAATTGGAGAGCCAAGTTCCAATTCCTGTTGGATTCGTTATATTTACTTATGTGCAAATATTCTTAGGAAAGGTATATAAACAACTTCTCTCTCAGCTATGGGCAAAACTTGTATCACTAAATCATTATTCCCCCCCCCCAAAAAAAAATTTAGAATCTCAAAATATTTTCTGGCTTTAAATAACCTGGAAAGGGGTAAGCTGTAGAAAACAAACCAATTAATCCATACTTGGTCAACAGATCTAACTAATTAGTCTTTCTCTGATGGTAGAATACACATTTTAGCTGAAAGGTTTTAGAAAGTAAAAGAAAATACTTTGATGACTAAATATAGTGAACTATTATAAATAAGTCTGTTTAAAAAAAAAAAAAAATAGAAAACTTTGGGTCAAACAAAAATATTGAAGTTAACAGATCAAAGAATTATATCCTAGCCATTGGTTTTCATATATGAAGTACAAAAAAATTAGCTGTATACAGTATTGGATAGTTCTACCACCATTTGTGGAAATGAACTATCTATAATGTAATAGGTAAAAAGGTAGT